CAGCGCCCGGAGAGCCGCACCGGCGCGGAGCCGGGCCCCAGCCGTGAGAACTGGGGAGTTCTGATGGTTATGGGGGGCACCGAGACCCTTCCTGCCCCCCCAGGTGGTGGGTGGTGGTCCCAGGCATCACCTGGTACTTGAGCAGAGCCACGTTGTAGTAGGAGGCAGCCGGGCTCTGCTCTGCTTGCTTCTGCAAGTGCCCGGTCAGCGCCGCCATATTCAGCCAAAAATCCTTCGTGCTGGGGTCGCTCTGGGAGGGGTCGCTGCAGGGAGTGGGTCAGAGCAGCAGTGGCGCCTGGGCACCCTGGAAACCTGGCACCCTGGTACCCAGCACCCCAACACTGTGCCCACCAGATCCCAAGAATGCTCAGGAACCCCAGGTACCCCCACACCCAGCACCCCATCGCTGCACCTACAAGTACCCAAGGTCCCTCCATCCCCCCAGACACTCCCTATACCCCAAAAACAGCTCCCCACCACTGCATCCACCACCTCCCAAGGTCCCTGCATACTCCCAGACAACCCCTGTACCTCAACACCCAGCTCCCCATCATGGCATCCACCACCTAAGGTCTCTGCATCCCCCCCAGGTACCCCTGTATCCTGATATACAGCTCCCCCACCACTGCATCCACCACCGCCACCCACGATACCTGTGCTCCCCAGCACCTCCTGTACCCCAATCCCAGCTCCCCACCGTCCACGCACCTGTAGAGCAGCTCTGCGTTAGGCAGGAACTGCTCAATGGCGCTGGCGTTGAGCAGGCGGAAGCTGAGCACAGGGGGTGCCATGGTACCGCTGAAGACGCGGATGATGCCGGCAGGGAAGGACATGGTGAGCTCCCCCGTCACCTTCACCAGGCAGCTGCCGGGGACAGGCTGGGGTCAGCAGATGCCCCAGGTGGGACGTGGTGGCTTTAGGGGGGGCTCTGCCCTGCCCCCTACCCCCAGGACCTCCGTACCTGTCAGCATCGCGGCCCTTGAAGTACGCGTGGACGTACTCGGTGAAGGCGGTGGCCACGGGGAGCGCATCCTGCGAGCCCAACACCACAGGACTGGGACCCCGCGACAGCCCTGGGAAGGCATGGATGGGGTCAGAGCCTGGATGGGACCCCACCACCCTGGAAAATTCCCCCCCCA